GACAGGAACCTTTAAACTATTTTTCGAAAATATATACTAGACAGTCTTGAAAGCGAACAATTAATTTGCAAAGCCTGCTGAGTTTTGTTTCCTGTGACAGAGTAAGATGTTTTAAAGAAATTTTAACCCCCCCCCCCCCACTGTAATGTTCGGGTTAGTATGAAGTTGAATGAAATGATATGAATGAAAAAATCTGACCTCAACCCAACTGACTATTGCAGTCCTTGTGATGTGACAATTGCATGTGTATAACATGCGATGTTGGTATTAATATTGCACATCGCCTAGCTGTATAATATACTATAGCCATTTATAGCGCTGTGATGTCATTCAACGCTGGTACCAGTCTTTACGCCAGTGGAAAACCATCACAAAAAATACCTTTTTAAAGTACCAGTAGTGTACGTTACCTTGTGCAAGCGCCCGAACACCTTATGCTAGGTGAAGTCTTTGCATGTTGATGCTTAGCTGATATCTGTTGTAAGATTGCTTTCATAAATTGTATTTACAGAGAATTTTATAAATTTAACAAAAACCAGTTACAGCATTTATAAACATAAATCAGTGGGCAGTTTTGGTGGGTCCTTTTTTCACACAATTTAGTTACATCACAAATTTATGAATATCCATTTTATAGTACTATTATGGAAGGAAATGTATGATGTATGGCTAGTTACCAGGTTTTCCTGCCAATGCAAACTACTGCTGTTTCCTCAAACCTGGGTACCAAAATGAGGTCCTGACAGGATGTGTGTTTGCTGGTGTAAAAATACTGCTATAAAAATAGAATGACAGCAGTATAAAGGAAGCAACTTTGCATGCTGAACCAAGCACCTGGATACCTCTGTCCTGCCAAGAGCTGTTTAACAGCCCTGTCCTGGATCGAAAGCCTCTCTTCTGCTTGCAGTGGCTTGTTTGTTCGTTTTGAGGAGCACTGGGAATTGTTGCATCTGCTAAACAAACTGAGAGGTTAAGAATTAACATTCCTTCCACCCTAGTGACAGAATCAGTCATCGGACTCGTGACTTTATTCAGGTGTCGCCTGTGTAATGGAACTTAAGTGGGAGTTGTCCGTTAGGCGTGACCTTCATGTCTCTCGTGACCGTCATGTCCCTCGTGACCGTCATGTCCCTCGTGTGTCCGCAGGTTTCTGGTGCATGGAGGACTTGACGCGGCCGTTCGTGTCCCAGGCCGTGATCACCGACGGACGCTATTTCTCCTTCTTCTGCTACCAGCTGAACACGCTGGCGCTTACTGTGCAGACAGACACCGGAAACCCCAGGAGGAACGTGAGCTGGGGCACAGACAGCCTGCCTCTGTACGAGGGCGTGAGCGGCGATCGGGTGGTCGGCCTGGACGATGGCGTCCTCAGGCTTCTGCTCCAGTTCCTGCTGAACAGGCCCCAGCCCACGTGAAGGGCAAGAATTCCCGAGATTTCACAGCCTGAACTGAGACACCTCAATAAAATAGAATTATCTACATTGACGTCAGGTCCTTCATTGTAATTGTTGATGGATTCAGGTTCCATTCAGATATCCAGCTGTTTTATGTGTAAAATGTGCAACTAATTTAATTTTTTTTTTTTTTACTGTCTGCTAAGCAAATATACATATAGTGGTGCTGGCCTCTTAAATGCAGACTGTACTCTAATTGCACATCAGCTTTCAGAAAAATGCAGATATTTCCCCTTTTAGGCTTAAATTCTGATAATGGCTGCATGTAGCATTACCTTTTATGCCAACTTTCTGACAAGAAAAGCCAGAAATAGATGGAGCGGCCCCAATAATACTTTTAAAAGCTTTTAAGTGAGCGATATAAAGCTCTTGTTACCCCCTATAAATGGATTCTTTTTTTTCCCCCTGCCATGCTTTTTGCATAAAGAGGCTTCACTTTCAAAGTGCAGAAGCTCCTCTCCCAATTAAATGTGCTTCAGCCCTCTGTGCCAGGGGGTTAATTCATGTATACCTCATTACTGCTTCTCCTCATCAGCCTGTGGCTCCATCCATCATTGCAGAGAGGGGTTTTCTGCACCTGCAGATGCCTCTGTAGTACTCACTCATTTTTACAGTCGCCAGAGTGGTATGTTCAGCCTCGTATGATGTATGTGTGGAGAGGTGCAGGCAGGCATGCTACTGACTGAGCGTCGGTACTGTGAACTATTACTCTGCTACGCTCTGAGCGTTCCCTGTATAATACACACCATATTTTTGCTTAGTTTAGAGCCCCGTGGGAATATGCAAAGATGTGGGCCATTTCTTCCTCAGATGATACAGGTTAGGAGAATGGATTTAACACCAGTCAGACTCTGGGTTTAATGATTCAATTGGAATTCTCTCAGAAAAATATTGAGTAGTCTATACTTAAAAATTACTACTAAGATAAATCATAAAATACTGAAAATAATATGGCTGCTTAGCAATTAAACATTTCAGCAGTTTCCTTGTATGACATGCATGTTTTTCAGTGACTTCTGACAGTTTAGTCACCAATTCACCGGAGCCGCATGTTTCTGCACCGCTGTAGGACGCCAAGGGGAACACGTGACTTGCAGAGCCCCGCAGTCGGTGAGGCTGGGTTACAAATCACAGCCCAGGAGAAGCAATCGGTAACACACCGAGTCTTTCTGCGCTCCGCAGTAAACCTGATTCGCTAAAAGAATTGAATGCACTGAAAAGAAATGCATACAGTATGATCAGTAATGTATTGGAATCCCATACACCACATAAAGATTGTGAAACATGAGGGCGTCTGCCTTTGCCATTTCCTATCTGAAAATATCCGAGGCGTCACCGTTCGCATTCGAACGATTTGCTGTTACTTTTCGTTTAACCAGATCAGTTTTTAATACCCCTGGGATATGGTTAGATAACGTTCAATTTGATCAGGTGAAGGCCCTTCCGATGTGTGTGACCCAATCCGGAAAAAAGGTATTTATTCACGGAATAATGATCTCGACCTATTCCGAGATGGTGGATATGCCCTCAGAATTGATGATTAAAAGTGAAGCTGAAATAGAAACGGCGACTATTTGATATCCATTCCCCACACCATGTCCGACGGTGTATTTAATTATATGAGAGACAAACAGCCAGTTACGCTGCGCATCTGGCCGGCGCAGATGGAGGTGACATCAATTTATATGATGGTTAAATGGGCGAAATCTAATTCTGAAAAACATTTCATTACAGTATATACAACTTCATGTAAATCTCTATGCCCCGGTTACAGGAAAAAAGAAAAGCGCACAAACAGATTGCGAACACCCCCTTTAAAGTTTTCCGATGCGCGAAATTGGTGTATTGGCTTTGAAAATAGGGAGCCCCATCATGCAATAATCTGATCATTTCAGATTTCGTTTTTAGTGCTTGACACCTTACCTGGCCTTAATAGTTTCTTGGAGTGTTGTTAATCCAGTCCTCATACAGGACATTTTTAGAAATGCGTGCAAAAGATGTGAGTGGCTGTAAGTTAGGTACCCGTTTTTATTAAACTGGCTAGCGTTAATCAAGCGATCCAGGTTTTTATAGTTTATTCAAGTTTTTACATACTGTGAATTAAACACTGGAAAGCAGGAGTTTTCACTGAACATACTTTTCAAACGGATAATCTTAACACGCTCTGGAAAGCACCAGTTGGGGTTTACTGTTGAGTACTTGCAAAATAGTTCAGTTAATGGTCTTTTTGTAGGATCGCCATGCAACCATTGAAAAAAAGTGTTTTTCTTCATATCACAGCTGGGATGGGCACTATTATTGTGTTGCATTTCAGAAGAACGCATTCGTGACTCCGGCAGACATACGAATAACAGGGCCGTGGGGCGCACTTACTCCGGACTGCTATCGATGGATAAATTGACACTATACTTTTGTAACCTGATGAAAACTGTCAATCGAAATCCAGGTGAATTAATAATCTCATAATATACAGAGACATGGACTTAAATTCAAACTTTTATTTTATATTCTTTAAATATATGTCAAAGTTTTGTGATTTAGAAACAAAACCAAAAAAATGACAAACTGCATGTATTACGAAACAACAAATTATTACTTTGCATCTGCATGCTAACCCCCCCCCCCCCCCCCCCCCCCAACCCCCGTACAGGGAGGCCCGCAGAGGGAGGACGGGCGGCGAGCCCCCCCCCCCCGCCCCAACCCCAACCCCTAACAACAGAAATGATTTGCAGACTTGCTTAGCTAGATATCCTTCTCGTTAGATATGATCATTATTGTTGAATATTAGTGTCTTTCTTCAATGTCTGCTTGTTCCGTGAGGGTAACTTCAGTCCTAGAACGAACAGAGACGGCTTTCCTGATCGAAGGCATTAAGCCAGGCTGGACGGAGCTGTGGGTCGGAACCGAGTGCAGTTTCAAATGGCGCGGTCAGACGCCACAGGACGAATCGGTTACATTACGATCCGAAATAATGTGGAGGCCCAGCGAACGCTGCGCTGTACCGACTGGAACCTTCCGCTATAGTGTGCTGTCCCTCACTAACATGACGATACCCGGACTGCGTGGAAGCTGCCTTTTTCGTTTTCCCTTTCTCCCCCTTCACTTACACTTAGAAGAGCGCATGGAAATGAAGGATTAAAGGATCTGAATCATGTGTCATACAGATCACACAATAATCTTTCTCTTTTTTGAAACAGTAAAATGGGCGGGCTTTCTTTACCACCTTAACCTCGCAAAGATTTTTGTGCGTCTTTGTGTGCGAGAGAGAATATTGGATAGAAGTGGATAGATGGAAGCACAGTATTGTGCGGATTTGTGTGCATGATGCATAAATGCTCACATAATACTCCCGCAAACACGCACATCCAAAACAGGGTTGGGGGAAACAAGGCTATAATTCAGGCACAATTACGTTTAAAAATCAGACCATTTAATATGCTTGAATAAATCTCAAAAAACACGTAATGATAAAAGTAATTCGTATTTTTATATATATATAAATTTGCAAAACAAAGTGTTAATCAGCATTATCTTAGATAGATACGGAATACACAGATAACGGTGTTTTTGAAGATATGGGCCTATTTAACACCATGTTTCAAATATGATAGATACATACAGACTAAAGGGGAAATAAATGTAAATAATTCTATTTTTGTTCCTGAGATGACTTGAATGGAATTGCTTTGAGTTTTGATGGACGGAATGAGCACAGTCACATGCCGGGTTCAGATACATGCAGTTTACACGTGCAAATCTGGTCTTCTTGGAAGAAGGTGCTTTTGTTCTTTGTGATACCTTTGAAAGTACATGATGGGGTGTCATAAATCACGTTTTCATGTTTTACCAATAGTCACAAATAACAAGAAAACAAGGGTATATGTTCCTCCAATTTCTTTAAAAACGTCTGCTTTTTTCTTTAAAAACGTCTGCTATTTTATCCATAGTTTTCCCTTTTTAAAGTTTCCTCATGTCTATATTTCACTGTCAAAATGGGAATAACAAGAAATTGTTCACAATACAGATATGAATATTTCATATAAAAATCCAGACTAAATTCTACTGTGAATTAAGAATACACTGTGTTTTGTGCATTTTTGAATGACAGTTACACTTTTTGAAATAAAAAGTTTAAAAGGCCCATTTTAATAATTGCCAGGGAACTGAAAGACAATATACAGAGCACACAGTGAGACTTCATTTTCCCCCCGGGACACATGCATTACAACTCTAGGTAACTCTAATTCACATAAAGCCGTCATTCAGAATCCTAGGTGCTGCACTTTCCATCGAATGCTTCTCAGAGGCAATACTGATCCGAGGTAAAATCACAGGTGAAAGGAAATGCACAATAAAGAGAGAGAGAGAGAGATCTAGAGGATTGTGCTGAGTTGCCACTAAGATGCAGGTGATACAACATATCCTTGAGGTCAAAGTGACTTATTCAACTTCCTGTTGTCATTGAAACAAAATAATTCAAATCCTCCCAACCTTTAAGACGTCCAGCAGCATGGATGTAGCTCTCCAAAGCAGGAGTTGCATAACAAGAAAGGCAACATTTAGGAAATAAAGGAAAATCCCACAATTTGTGATGTCGTGTTGATTGTTTTGGTTTTCCAACACATAAACATGTGTGGTTTGCCTGAACCATCTCTCAGTTTGACAATGCTCGCGTGCCTATACACATTCCTCACCTTATCAAATTCTCTGATGGGCCATTTCAGCCCTGGGTGACTGCGGTCAGACAGGTTTACTTGAGAATTAGTGGCTCATTGACACCTGGCGTACCAGGTGAGATGATTTCCTAGCTCCACATTTGTTCATTAATACATCATTAGGAATTGAGCTGGAATGAAAACAACGACACCCTCTCGCCTTCCAAGAATGGAACAGTCCTCTCTGGACCATACCATTTTAATATACACTTTCTGTGAAAGCTATGGGGAAGCTTCTTGTTAAGCATTGTATTTCCTTGACCCAAAGTCACAGAAGGATTTGCAAATTCTATTAGACTTTTAGACATGATTCCATATTTATCTGGCCAGATTCAATTCCCATGTGTACACAAAAAAATGTAGCTGAATTGATTTCATGAAAAAATGCTAAGAATTGCATGAAAGTTTACTATTCTGTTCTGTACAATTCTTCCATATTTTTACATGTTACACACCCTTTTTGGGGATGTGGTGTTGACTGAGAGCTTGCCCGGGCATTCGCATGATACAATATTCCTTATTAAAATCAGACGCTCATGACTGAGAATGCATCACACTGGGTCTCTATAGACTACTTCTATAAAACTATTTACAAGACATGTATAGCTCATTTCATATCACAGTCTATTGCATAATGGTGATATTTATCATTTAAAAATATAAATGTACAGATTAAATAAGCAATACTAGCGAATGTCCATTTCTACAGGAATAGAAAATCCGACTTCATACCAGCGCTGTCCTTTTCTTTTAAGAAGCAGTACATTTACACCTTTACAGCTGTTTGATCCATAACACTGTCTCTTGCCTTAATGAGCCAATAGTAAGTGTAACTTCCTTGGAAGTATTGCACAAGTCATGGAACAGCCTTTCTACACCAGTATTATAAACAGTAGAGGGTTACCTATTTCGGCAGTTAGGGATTCTCGGAATGAGCTCTTCTTTTTTGCCTCCCGTCTGGTGCCTTTGGATGAGTGTGGGTCTCCAAATGTTCTTCACTCTGATTCGCTTGGGGAAGGAAAAAAAAAAAAACAAAAATCTGCAAAGTCTAGGGAAAGGTATGTTTCCAAAAAAAAAAAAAAACTACAAAACAGAAGGCAGTAAAACTAAAAATATATATCTTTTTTTTTGAAAAACACCTCAGAGGAAGACTTGGTTTTAAAGAGTCAGTTCCCGATATTCTACTATGGATTTGCCCGTGAATCTGCACTGTGTGACATACATTCTTACAGGTAGGGGGCGCTCTTTAAGGTACAGTGAAGAGGCCTGTACAGAATATCTACCAAGTCTTTCTTCCAAAAAGGGACTGGAGGAAAAACAAAACGGGAGAGCGAAAAACAGTTCACAACGGAAGTCCTTGGTAGCTGTGAATGTAAAAAGTTGCTGCTCTGCCTCGAGCTCGCTGATTTGCCGCGTCTCATGCAGGGGGGGCGGGAACACTGGGGGGGGGGGGCGGTTAGCCACATCATAAGTTGGAGGCGAAGTGCAGCTTGTCTTGATCGGTCTCCATGCCACCCGGGCCTGTGGACTCCCTCCTGTGCAGGGGGGTGGGGGTCACGGGGGGCACGTGGACGGGCGGCAGGGCTCCAGATGACATCTGCCGCATGACCCGCTGGGGAACGGCCGCGCGGACCCCCCCCATAGGCTCCCCCGGGGTGATGGGCAGCCTGATCCCGGCCGTGAGGACCTCGTGGGGCAGTGCGGGCTGTGAGGCGGACAGCAGGCGGGCGTCTGCTCCAAGGGATGCCAGAGGCAGCGCCTGCACACTTCTGTGAGGAGAGACCCCGCTGGGCAGCCCAGGCTGCTGCAGCTGGAGCAGGGAGAGCTGGGAGGCTGTGGGCGAGCCGTATTGGAACGTCCGGCCAGCCAAGGGGCTCGGCACGGACGGGCTGCCCCCCATCCCCGGCATGAAGGCACACGGGGACGCGGCTGCTCCCTGCGGGAGGGGCGTCTGCAGTGCCGGCGAGGGGCAGGCTGAGCCGGTCTGGGCGGAGGACGAGAGCCGGGAAGGTGCACACTGCTGCAGCTGAGCCCCGGCCAACACGACGGAGAGCGGGGCCTGCGCCGGAGAGTGCGCCACGGAGGTGCCCGAAAGGGGCGAGGAGGCGGCGCCGGTGGCCGAGTACTTGCGGTCCACCATCATCACCATCTCCCGGTCCTGCCGGATTATCTGCTTCAGGATCTCATTCTCCTGCGTGTTGAACACTCCTGCATTCAGGTCCTTTTGGAACTTCTGCAGCAGTAAGGAGTTCTTTTTACCTGAGGAAGGGTGACCAAGCGGCATTAGTGAAACTGGCGGCCCAGTGCTGCCGTCTGGCGTTCTTCAGTTTGCTGTCTTCTACCAAGACGCTATTTTATGGAATGCCGGAAGGGTCAAAACGTATTTCTTTTTTTTTTTTGTGCTAATAAGCAGAAAATTAACATGTTGATGTGAACATTTTGTTTGTGTTAACATGTACAAAATGTGCATGTTAACCTGTCAATTTTAACTTTGTTAGCGTGAAAAAAGCCAACACGTTTTACCCCTTTTTACCGTGTTTCTGTACAAAAGAGATACTGGGTTTTCCAGAGGCTGCGCCGAACCCCGGTTGACACTTATTTACTAGTCAGGTAGTTTAGACTTCGGACTTATTTTTAGTCCGTTACCTTAGAAAAGTGTGGTCATATTGAATAAATGGAGTATTCTGCAGATGGTCAGAATTGTATAATATGAGATCTTTTTATGTGGCCTACAACTGCTCACACATACTGTCTATAGTTAGGAGAGCTGTTCAACACATGTACATTGTGATGTAATCATTAATTTATAAATTATTAAGCCAGACCTTACACACGCTTAGACAATGATTGGCACAGTAGCGAAACGTAAACAGCGCATCCTATCGTAACGTCTATCCGTCTTTGGGAATGACGTGTTGCTCCACAGGCCTCTCCTGCAGCCAGCTGCCCATGAAACCGTCAGCTTTGCCGTTCACTGTTTTGACTGTGAGCTACTTCCTGTGCAGCAGGAAATTCATCACCAGTCAGACGACAGACAAAGGCCAAAGCATTTCTTTCGCATTGTGATGCGAACGTGATGGTACTAAAAAGAGGGATCTTATCTCCCCACTTTTAACCTCTTTTCTTTGGCTTCCAGTGGTATTCAGGATTAGGTTTTGTTGCAAAATGTTACTGTTTGTGTTTAAAGCTCCTAATGGGTTGGCACTAGATCACTGTGTTCTTCCTGTCAGCTGCTTTTAGCCAAATCACGCACCCAGTTAAAGACTAGGGGAGACTGTGCCTATATATAATCTATATTTTTGTGTTTTATTGTGTTTATTGGTATTCTGTATGACACTTTCATTGACACATGGTGTCTTTAAATGTCCTTTATAAAATAAAGTGATTGATTGATTGGTTGGTTGATGGTGGCAGATCACGTAAAACCATAAAAACGGCTATTCTGAGCGGTGACAACCGATGTCCAGAGGTCAGCGGAACTTGTGACAGTGGTGATGGGATTATATTGAAATGAGGAGCTAAAGTGGAAAGGGCTTGCAGTGGGGAGGGCAGTCACCCCATCCCAGAAGGCATCATCAGACACCTCCCTGGCAAACACAAACGTACAGCTGGTTCCACACCTCACCAACTGCCAAGGATGCAGATGAATGACCAATCAATAGGCAACATTTAGCGTGCATCCGAGCCACGGCCTTTCCTCATCGGAGTCGCTTGGCACGTCTTCGCTAATGTCGTCCTCCGAGCCGCTAACACGGCGTGCTATTCTCCCGGCTGCATTTAGCACATTAGCATGCTTTTATCCTCTCAGATTCCAGCGAACCCTGTCACGCCATGGCCCCGTCTGCCACTCTGTCTCCTCCAATAACGGTTAGTGGCTCCCCAGCGCCAGGCTCTCCGGGGTGCATACAAGGAAGGTGACGACGGTGACAGAGCTTCGCAATGTTAGCGCTTTGCTAAAAAATATGTTAATATGTTAAAAATACGTATGCGCATAAAAATGATCTATTATTATTATAAGCAAGGTAAAAATAACATAAACGGCTGATGTAAGTGTCTTTTACACCACTGTAATATAAATTTGATTTTGCTGAACTTATTTATATTTATCTGATAAATATTCAAGCAGCATAACAACACCCTCCAGATATTGGCATAATAATGTCACATGCAGGCAAGTCACCAAGCAAAAGAATAAAATATACAATTCTGAATTCCCATTAAACTAATTAGCATTCCTGTGCATTTTTAGGTCACAGAGGGAGCACAGTGAACTAATACTAATGCATTTACGGTTCATTTGGGCACAATCCCTCCTGGGAGACTCTGGTTTGTCAGATGCAGATTAATATCCAGATTGTACCTCAGCAAGCAATTCTTCCAGAAGCAATAAGAAACACAATAGGATACTGGACCCATCACACACAGATGGGTAGAAATACCATCTACTGTACTGTATATCCCAAAGTAGGGTTATCACGATCCCATACAGTGAAAAATAAAACCTATTGTCATAAGAAAAGTGTAAATCTACAGACAACTTTAAGTATATAGTGTTCACCTGTTGTATGTATGAATGTATGTATTTAGTTTCATACATTACCTTACACTAGATTAACTATTTTTCAAAAAACAATCCTACAGCTGTATATCTTTTTAGAACTTGCACTTGACCTCAAGGACAGATACGTACAGAATTTACTGCATAAAAATACCTGTTTCCATATAGTGTAAAAACCAAATGTGAGTTCAGGAATAGAGTAGCCTGAGCAGTTCGCTGCCCTGAGTTTGTACACCTGTGTCACTAGAGAGCACCGTGTCCTTGTGGGCTACCAGGTGCTATCCTCCAGGGACACCTGGAAGGCATGGGGGTGCGTCTACGTGTCGAGGGGGGTGGGGGGTGGTTGGCTCTGCTGGATGGCAGCAGGGGTGACCTTCTTACCTGGTGTCACACGCCAGCTATGGTGTCCTCCATGAAATGTGCTCCAACGCTTTGGTTCCCGGATGAATCCCATGTGAGGTGAGTGTAGGTGATATAGATTTACATCACCTTTCAGTTATTTAGTGGATGCTTTTATCCAAGGTTGACCTTTGAGATAGCAGGGTCAGAGAGTCCCTGAAGCAACTAGGGGTTAAGGGCCTTGCTCAAGGGCCCAACGGGGGAATCACTCTACCAACCATGAGATCTGAACCAACAACCTACCGATCACAGGCACAACATCCTGACCCACTGAGCCACCCATCATACAGTTATTTACAGCAAACAGGTAGCCCAAAGAGCAAAGAAGAATTTTCAAGAAAAACGAGATGCGCACTGAACCCCCGCTGTCCTGGCTACTCAGATGGAGTAGCTGCTTGGATTCGCTCTCGCAGCCTGTACACCCACAGGGACGTGACGGAGCGGCTCTGCTGTACACTCACCGATGCGATCGAGCCGGTCGATGGCCACGGTCTCGAAGGCTCGCCTCATCATGGGGTACTCCTCCAGCACCTCGTTGAAGTGGTCCACGGACAGCGAGTACAGGCGGCAGTAGGTGTCGGCGCGGACGCTGGCCGTGCGCCTGCCCTTGGTCAGCAGGCAGATCTCTGTGGGGGGGTCAAGCGCGAGGCGAGCCTTGTGAAGCCCCTAGCCGAGACTCCAGCAACCCACAGATCTCACACGGCGGGCCTGCACTGCTCCGGAAAGTAAGACTATTTTTACTTCGAGGTTCCCTGCGATGACCTTGAATCTGCCGAGGGGAGGGCAGTGGGACATACCCCATCCCTCTGGCCCCGCGAAAGTCAAAGTCAGGCGAAATAACAGCTTGCACTCTGTGCACTGGCAGAATGAAACACGCCATGTTGCATGCAGTGACATGAAATTCACTTACACGCGGACTGCGTGTACAGTTGTGTTTGCCCACAATCTCAATGTGCACCTTCAGTGAAAAACACAAACATTCACTTTGTACATTCAACAACACTAAATGTATTTTTTGTTATCATTCTCAAAGAATAGAATAGAATAGAATAGTGATGCTTCATCCATTCCCATGGGAAAATTGTCTTTTTTCCTCCACTATCTTGCTCTCCATGAGACACACAGACACATACATGTGTGACAGCAAGCTTGGGGGGGTCACAGGGCAGGGTCGGCCAACGTCTGATGGAGCAATCAAGCCTAAGGGTGCTAGGGTGAGACACAATGGTGGCTTCAGTCTGCCACCACGTCCTAGTACTGCGTAAGTAATAATAATAATGATAATAATAATAATAATAATAATAATAATAATATTAACCCCCATGGGAAAATTCTCTATACGCCTCCCCTAACTTGCTCTCGTTAGGTAAGAGCAAGCTGGCTGTAAGGGGCACCCAGGGAGCTGGGGGTTAAGGGTCTGGCTGAAGGACCCGCAGTTGAGAACACACACATCCAGTGTTCCTACACTGCACACACCGCACACACACACACACACACACACACCTCCGAAATAGGAGCCATCGGTGAGTTTCATCTCCTTGTTCAACTTGGTGATGACGCTGGCCACACCGTGCTGGATGAAGTACATCTTCTTTCCCACGGTTCCCTCACGGATGATGTAGTCGTTAGGCTGGAAGACCTCGAACTTCAGCTTGCTCAGCATTCCCGTCACAAAGTTGGGGTCGGCGTTTGCGAACAGGGGCATGGTGGCCACCAGCTTGCGGCAGTTAAAGTTCACAATCTCCTGCAAGCGGAAATATAGAAACCAGCCGCTAGTCACTGCTTTTATTATCCATTTGCAGACCGCTCAGTTTATATTGGTGTACCTGCTCCGGTAATCATCATCACAGCGCATCTTTCAAATGACCCACTAAGTATAATACTACAATAATAAAAAATAGCTGCATTGATAGCTATAGTTGTGTATCAGTAATCAAGCACAAATATGAAATGGCCGTTGCCTTCCTAGTTTCTCATGTCTTCTCACAAGAGACACAATGACAATATCCCAGGGGTGAGTCACCATGGAAAAATCATATAACACGAAAGCTCCCTTCCGGTGTCCTTGAACCGAGTTCTATGATCCACAAAGACGCAATATAATTTCATTATAATGTAATTTTGGAGAAGGCCATACTATATCTATAACATAACCAATTACTAGTGGTTTTTACCCCAGACAGGTTTTTTTTAGATCTAATCCAAGTCTTCTGAAAGCTGTTACAGGCGTCAGAGTCCACCTTGTGCTCATGAGCAGTCATGTGACCAGTCATGTGTCAACACATAGCCCAACGTGAAGTTCAGCATCAGACCCCCGACCTGGGACCCTGAGTGCAGTCCGGTAGCTGTCAGGATCTGGAGCTTAGTTTGGGAGGAGCGAGACCCCTGGGAGATGTACTGCCGTTAAGTTAGGTTTCCAATTCAATACAACTTCAGCGAAATAACCTGCTGTGAAAATAGAAGATTAACTTGTAATCATTACCTCTGTATACAAACATACCATTCATAAATGCATCTACTGAGCATGTGTTAAAAATCTGGAGTAATCAGTATTTGAAAGATGCCTTTCATGGAAATATAATTCTTAATGTAGGCCTTTGGAAGTAAATGACGAGAAACGAAATGTCATATCAACATGATTGATGATGCACAACAAGTAATGGAGAATTTTTGTTACTTTCCAAAACATTCTGAACAAACTGTGGAGATTTTATGTATTTTCAAAGACGTAATTTTGTTACGTTAATTTTGTTAATGCCTGGTTTTAGAAGGTCAGCATATGTGTTTCTTCCCAACCAGTCGGCCTTGGGATAAAGACGACGTCCAGTCAGTGCACTGGGATTTGACCTCATGGAGCCCCAGATGCAGATGCTCAGAGTGACACGAAATGCTGAGTTTGACTTAGCAGATGTGCCCAGGGGCTTGACGAGGCAGGCGGGCGGCTTGGTGCCAGCTAATGTGGGCTCTTCCAGATGAACATGTGGCGATGAAGATGCTGCTCCTCTCATCCTGATCCCGCAGCTGTCACTTCCCTGCCTGCATCAGCACCTAAATCGCTTAAGTCTCTCGGGTCAGATGTGGACGTGTCATGCACTTTCCTTCTTTTGTTTCGCTCTCTAAAGGAGGTGGGAACTGTTCGATTGCAGAAAATTGCCTCGGGTTTGGGATATCAGGTCAGGAAGGGCAGAGATCCTCGTCAGGTAGCATTTAGGGGGGCAGCCCCCCCTGAAAGCGAGACAGACAGCCCCCCCATAACATGCGACCGTGACCAAAACAGAGGGGTAGCGGGAGGCTAAAGGCGACGCTAGTGGATGCACATCGCTTGTATTCTG